CAGATTCAAATTTCTTATCAATAAACTTTTCAGGATAACCATTCTCACTTAACATTAGTATTAATATTGGGAAAACTTGTGTGAAATAAAACGTTTCTCAGAATTATAATGGTGCACCGAAAAACACTGTAACAAAAATAATCTTATTGATATAAATATAAAATCTTATCCATAAATCGAAAAATAATCTTAGTCACATATTTTAAGTTATTTAAATACATTGTACTAAATAAAATAAAAATTGAATTTTAGGTGTAAATTTGTGCTACACGAACGATAAAAAATACGTTATTCAAATTCATCAAAAATGCATCAGCATTAAAACTGTTGACAGAAAAAATATTGCATGGAGGATTTCATCATGAGCTGACATCAGTTAGAGAACCACTGGAAAACCTGGGAGTACTGGACAGCTGATTCGTCCTAGTTTGGGACTCTTAAGCACTACACGCCCACCGGGATTCGAACCCAGGACCTTCTGGTTACAAGGCGAGGTCGTAGACCATTGAGCCACTGCGACCCGATCCAATGGTCCTTGAATTCTAACTTCTTACTTACTTTACTTTACTTCGGCTATCTCCTACGAGAGGATGAGCTGGCTTCATGAATGAGTTCACGAAGTTTCATGGGAATTTGGTACGAGTGATGTCCCCAGAATCGCTCGGCCTTTTGTTTGAGAGTGCAGCTCTAGCCTTTACACAACCAACTGTGTGACCTACAAGGCAGTAGGAGTGGAATAGGAAGTCCACTATCCATCGGCAGCCGGTGACCGGAGTTCGGTTCATACGCCTTTTTGAATAGGGCCAGACATCCAGGACATCCAACAAGCCCTTTGTCCATACGTCTGCCGGTGAGCTCCAGTGAGCTTCATACGCCAGTCGTTGGAGGTTTGGAATCAGGGTTTAGCCATCTCCCCTAGACTGTCATCCAATGGACAGTCAACCCGGTGAAGAGCGCCGGGCATCCGCTTTCGCCCTCTCACTTTGGTGTAAAACACCTCCGCCACGTGAAGGCAGTGAGTAGGACTTCCTCAGGAGAGGCTATGAGGCCGTGAAAAGACACGATATATATTCTTTAGTATCAATGCATATAGACAATTATGGACATCAATTTGATTGAGATAATGTCGAAATCTTAGACAGAAGAAACACCAAAAGTGCAGTCAGGGAATTCCTAGAAGCCTGGTACTCAAACGAAAATGCAATTAACAAACATGTTAATATAGACGAAATATACCAACTAATAAAAAGTAAATCAGGTGACCAGAAAGTTTAAAATCCAAGTCAATAGAAAATGGTGAATAACTATGTAAAGATGTTTACCGGGAGATGCAATTATATCACTCATGCAGAAATTTAAATCATTTCACTTTATGCTAAATATTGCGCTGAAGATGTTGTCCAGAAGGACGACGAAAGCTTCGCAACCAAACCAACCAGCTCAGAGAACACTATTAATTGCACATAGGAAACTAAAATAAATTTAAACAAGTAAATTGAGTGATGTAATATACTTCGAAAGACAATATATCCAGATTCAAGGTCATGATGGGTTCCTGCGCCGACTGGTTAGATGTGTTCGTGGATTAGTTTCACATTGAAATTTACAGGGTTTTTTTGACATTTTGCATATTTTAAGGTGTGTCGAGGTCAATATCTGTCACTGGATACTACTATAAGCTTATTTTTAGTCTGAAGTCCACAGTTATTAAGTTGATAGTTAACGATTATGGCAAAAAATGCAATCATTGGGCTACTTCGCGTGTACCAGGCTAAGATAGTGAACTGTTCATTAGAAACTGAATTAAAATGAGTAACATTCTTTAATTTCTCTTAATTTCTCGTTGACTTAGAATATGCAGACGATATAGTCCTTCTAGGTGAGGACGCTGACAAAATGCAGAGTCTTCTGAACACCTTGAGTTGCAATCTACGAATATTTGGCATGCGATTCGCTCTCGCCAAATAAAAGGTGATGTTACAGGATTGGATTACAACGACTCCTAGACTAGAAATAGGAAGTGAAGTGGTAGAGCACGTTGACCACTTCACTTACTTGGGAAGTACCATCACCCAGCACCAACGAGTTGATCGCTGACGAAATCTCAACACGGATACAGAGGGCTAGTTTCGCATATGCCAGTTTACGCCATCTCTGGCGTAGACATAATATCCGACTGGCTATCGACCAAAGGGCGTATGTATTGCTCATCAGTCCACTCCGTCCTCCTTTATGGCTGTGAAGACCTGGCCATTGAGAGGGGAAGACATGAAAAGATTAGCTGTCTTTGATCATAGGTGTCTGAGTTCTATCTCCCGTGTGAAGTGGTATAATAAGGTGAGCAATATTGAGGTTAGGCGTCGAGTGCTAGGTAAGGTGGGGAAATCAATCGACGAGACTGTGAAATTACATCGACTGAGAAGGTTAGGACATGTGTTACGTGTGCCTAGTCATCGGCCTTCCTCGACAACGGGTAATGTTAGCTGATATAGGGTCAGGCTGGAAAAGAGCTAGCGGTGGTCAAACCAAAACATGGCTTCATCAGTCAATGAAATCTACAGCAGTTAGTCTAGGCCACGTAGGAAGGTGTAGAGTTCCTGATTGGTTGGGGTCCTCGGGACGGTAGAAACCAATGGTTGGAAACAATTGGTGACATGGCTCAAAATCGTTCTCAATGACAGCGCAGATGCATCCACTCCTTCTGACTTATGATTTCCAATGAAAATATATTGTTCTTCGTTATTACTATTCCTTTGTCTCACACCTCTGTTTACTGTCTCTTATATACATTTCTCCTACTTTCTTCTCTTGCTTTGTGTGTTACATGGAGTGTGGCGACTTGAACTGCTGCACATCTGTGCAAAGTTCTATGTCGAAAACAGACACACATTTTTTAATTTGCAGGAGAGAGAGTAGACATCAACTTAAAGCACTGGTTTTCATAAGGCTAAGACGGAGATCTAAAGGCAGCAGTCACTAACTAAGTTTATTACTATAAACTGTGTTTGCATACTTGACGGGAAAATATCATATGAGAAAGTTTAAAGTACCGAAAAAAATACTATTTATACCATGAAACAGGAAATCCTAATATTTTTACAAAAATTCGTATGTGCCACGATACACGATTCTTCTGAGTCGTTTGTTGGAATTCACATAACAGCATAACGAGTTTCACCTAATAATTTTTGTCAACCAGTGCTTCCGATACTAATGATAAAAAAGAAGGAGTAATCAATAATATTATGGAGATTTCGATAACCTTATTCTTACATCTGTACAAATATCAAGAGATAGTGACTATGAAAATTTCATTTTTGCTTTCTTAATAGTTTCCGTTATTAAACGAGATTCGCTAGAATGCACAATCTCAGCATTTTATGAAAAATGCTACATTTTAGTAATTACTGAGAGTAGCTGAATGCCAAATGACCTCACTGTGAAGGTCCTGAGTTCGATTCTCTGTGGTTCCATAGGTGCGTGCTGATGAAGAGTCCCAGACTAGAACGAAACATCTGTCCAATACTCCCTGGTCCGTATGTCAGTGGTTCCGTCGTAGAATGCTCGCCAACCACGCCAGAAGTGGTCTAGGGTTCATTTCCTAAACCACATTGCTGGTAGTCAGGCCTGTGAAGAGGGAAGGTTGGACGTAAGGTCAGTATTCTCAACCCTAAAAGGTATTCACAAATCGAAACAGCCATCTCAAATTAATTCGCCTGTTTGCAATCTTTAGTACCGACTTCCAAGATCAATGTTGTTGAATAATATCTTTGCAGTGTAGATTAGGGTTCTTGTATGATATTTGTGGCATTAAATTAATTTACATCTCAGTACAGTTGTAACAACAGAAGACAAGGGCCAGGCAACAGATCGTTTATTAAGGAAAATCAACACATATTTACATGTTTTCATGTACATTATTATAGATTATTGTAAGCAAACAAACACAGTCTTCTGATTCGTGGTTTCTCGCTGATCTCGTTAATCTTTCATCTGTTTGTGGCAGTTTATTGAAGTTCAGATTATCTATCTGCAAATTGTAACTGCCTACGCAAAGTTTGCTGTGATTGGTTGTTGAATCATTATTTCTTCTTATTTTTCTCATGACCAATATTGGGGACGTAAACATTGACGTAAATTACACTGTCTACCAATTTTGGCTAGCAGCCAGCTCTCACCACACTCGTCCCCCCGTCAAAGACTTGCGACTGAATTTGGTTTGGTCTTCTTGGTTCTAGGGGCTTTGTTCGTTTGTCTTGCTGTCTGGAATCTCGGCGCTCGCTGATTTTCACCTGTTTCTCTTTGTTTGCCATTGCGATTGTGTCTGCGTAACCCACCCCATCTCAAAGTGACCATATGTGGTCCTTCCCACTTTGGAAACTGTTTGCCTGACCCTACCGCACATTTGTCTGTATTTCGCCTCTCACTTTCATATGCTGATTCCTCCCGACCTCCCAGCAGCGTCAACCTCATCGCTGACAGATCTTGAAGACCACTCAACTGCGCAGAAGCCTCGAAGTCCTGTCCGAAGATCCATATGTCTCCATCAAAAACTGCAGGGCATAGGCTTTCCATTTGTCGGTAGGCAGCGACACCAAATGTAACAACAGAAGACAAGGGCCAGGCAACAGATCGTTTATTTAGGAAATCAACAGATATTTACATGTTTTCATGTACACTATTAAAGATTATTGTAAGCAAACAAACACAGTCTTCTGATAGGTGGTTTCTCGCTGAACGTTAATAATAATAATAATAATAATTTTTGCTTTATTCCAAAAACAGTATTAATGATACAGCAAGGAATTTTCAGCATTCAGTACAGTATTGCATCTAATTTACTCAAAAACGACAACAACAAACAAAAAAAATAGATAAACGGAATAATTAATACATAATAATGATAACAAAACGTTTTTATAGGAGCTACGTAGCAATTACAGTATAGGATAAGGAGAAAAATATAAAATTATAGTAATAATAGTAATAACAACTAAAATAAAAATAGCAAAGTTATAATTAAACGATAGAAAGGGTGACACCATAGAATTACAGAAAGATGAACAATGAAAGGGTCGATTCACTATGCTAATTACATAGTAACTTATATGTTTCACGTCTAACAGTGTCTTCATCACATAAAATACGGGCTAAGTACGGTATTGTAGAATTTTTGTACTTAGTGGTACGAGCATAAAATTTCTTATATTGACTTCTCGTTCTACCTGATGAGATACAAGGGGATAATTGTGAATAAAGAGGGTGCAGAGGGTCTGACAGTACGGCCTTTGCCCAATTTTTACAGGAATTTACGTGTCTCTCGACTATGGTATTGGCGAGATCACGCAGTGGCAAACCACAAGCCCTACTCACAGCATTTAATACCCTTCGTAATACGGCATAGTCTTTTTTAAGAAGCCCAGGGAAGATTAATGGAGAACAATAAAGTAAAATGGGTAAAATACAGGAGTTTAAAAATCGCAGAACTAAAGGTTGGCTGATACCTTGTTGTCTTAACTTTTTAATGTAGAAGGTAAGACGAAACATTTTCTTAGAGACCAATAAAATGTGAGATGACCATGAAAGGTCCGAGGAAAGAACTAATCCAAGGTATTTAATGCTTGATTTGGTTTCAATTTCTGTACCATCTATGCTACAGGCATCATGGGAACTAACTAGTTCATGTATGTCACGTCGATGGTTGAAGGTAAAGTTAACTGCCTGACATTTGGAAGGATTTAACATAAGACCATTCGACTTAGACCACATGCTGATGTCCAACAGAAAGCTATTAAGTTTGGAGCAGTCAGACTCAGAAGTGATAGGCAGTGATACAGTCAGATCATCAGCATATTTGACAAAATTGGTTTCGTTTAAATGTGGCAGGTCATGTAAGAAGAAAGAAAAAAGAAAGGGAGAGAGGACGGCACCTTGAGGAACACCGGCTTTTGTAAGCAAAGCAGAAGAAGATTTGCCATTATATGCAGTATACTGCATTCTATCAGAAAAATAAGAATGCAACCAACTCTTAGCCCAGGATGCTGTGTGCGTCAAGGAGAGCTTATTTAATAAAAGGCCCCTAGGTACAGAGTCAAACGCAGATGTGTAGTCTAGGAAAGCACCACGAACATATTTGGCACCTTTGTCTAAACAAGAAACAACATTATGATATAAGACAACCGCAGCATCCAAGGTACTTCTACCATGTTTATATGCAAATTGCTTAGGGTCATTAAAAGCTTTCAATGAAGGTTTAAGACGAAGTAAAAGTAGTTTTTCCATCAATTTTAAAAAAGAAGAAGTAATTGCAATAGGCCTAAATTTACTATCGGTACCAGAAGATTGTTTTGGTATAGGGACAATTTTAATGTTTTTCCATGCAGAAGGTAGAACATTACTGGAAAAGGAAGCATTAAAAATATTAGTAAGAGGGTAACACAAAATATCAGCACAGTTCCTGAGGACAATGGCAGGTACGCCATCAGGACCAAGGCTTTGGGAAGGCTTAAGAGAACGGAGACATTTAAGCACATCAAGGGTATTAAAACCATTAAAATTATTGTCTATGTGATTTGTATCATTAGGAAGGATATCGACAGAGGAGCGTATGAAAGACTTATTAAGATTATTAACATTAAGAGATTGTACAGAATTACACCGCTTACCGCTAGTTATTTCTTTAAAAAGTTTCCATAAACTAGAAGGGGTTTTACATGACAAAAATCTTTGGTTGTATAAAACATTTAGTCTGTGCATTTCGAGTTTTATCAGAGGATTTAGCTTTTTTACACCTGACTTATCATTTGTTTTGAACAACAGTTCTTTATCTCTACGGAGCTTTTTGAGATATGGAGAAGAGAAACGGTCAAAACGAGTGAATAATGTTTCTTTAGGACAACATATTTCCAAACAGAATTTAAGATAATCTGTGGTGTTTGTGATTGTGTCATTTAATGTTTGTTCTGTAAATAGGTCCCAGTTAGTATCTATCAACATGCATCTGAGTTTGCTTAGATTATCTTGTGAGTAGCATCTCCGTTGAAATTTACTGTAGAGGTGAGAGAAGACACGTTTGTGTGATTTGGAATATATTTTAGGCAGTACACGTATGATGCAGTGGTCAGAGTTCAATACAGGAGCACGTTTGCGAGCTTCATATATACCAACATCATTGATGAATACTAGATCTAGTGTTTTTTCGAGACGGGTAGCAAAGTTAACAATATTGTCATGGCCAAGTGATATAAGGAAGGAGTGATCACAAGAGTTAAAATCGCCAGTCACTATTGATAAAGAGTTCTCGAAACAAGCTGCAGCAAAAGCGGTGAATTCATCTGCGAACATAGATAAATCCGATATGGTACAGCCAGGAGAGACATAAACATTAGAAATATAAATGAATTTGTATTTTGACAAGTGTCTCGGGCGACATCTGACAGTGATGCAATCAATGTAGTCATTCGAGAATTTGAAACAAACATTGTTAGAAATAGACCATTTTGAGTGAATAAATGTAGCTACTCCTCCGCCGCATTTTTTCTTGGAACAAACACGGTCCTGTCGGAATACATTAAAATCATTTAAAGATACTATATTGTCATCATATGAGTCATGAAGCCAGGTTTCTTGTAGAGTGACAATACCAGTATTATGATAAGTTTCGGACAACAACAGGGACTGAAAATCCAGAATTTTGTTAGGCAGTGACCGACAGTTCGTACTAACGATAACCGGAATAGTAGTTTGATGTATGGGTGTAGATTTTAAAGCACGTTGCCAACCACCATGGTGCTTTTTCTTGAGTTTATTGCAAATATGAAAGTTTTTAGGTTTTAAGCATTTTATATAATCCCGAGAGTGAATGATACGACTAGAATGCATAATTTTAAATGTAAACACCAACAAAATATGAGTAAATAGATGCAAAATGTACATGGAATATGGTAGCCCAAAATGTCCAAACAGGCCGCCAAGGTCAAGGTCGCATCTGTTTGTGGCCGTTTATTAAAGTGCGGATTGTATCCGCCTACGCAAAGTCTGCTGTGATTGGTTGTTGAGTCAGTCTTTGTTCTTGTTCTTTTCTTATGACCAATATTGGGGACGTAAACATTGACGTAAATTACACTGTCTACCAATTTTGGCTAATAGCCAGCTCTCACCACACAATGATTTTTTTCATCTTTATTACGTTAACATCACAACAATTTATTTTTTTTTGCACAATCTGGTAATTTCCATAGATTGATCACCAGATTCAATCACAAAAATTGAGTAAATCACAGTAAGTAAATTGTCCACTTTTGGTTCACTTATTATTATTAAGATAATGAAAAAATCAAATCAAATTCAAGAATCAGATTTACAGGTATCAATTTTGTTAATCTATTTTTGAACAAAGAAAGAAGAAACATTGGCGCAGAAAAATCTGGATCCATTTTATTTCGTTGGTTCTCATCAGCTGCGTACAACCTGAATATTTGTTTTTAATTAAAAATAAAAAGTGTACATTTTAGCAAACCTTAGCAAGCAGTGTCAGAGCGTCATAGTAAAATAAGGCATTGAGATATACAGGGTGTCTAAAGTGTCACGACATATAGATATTTATATCTTGGTAGAGAGAAGTTACATTGGAAGAACAGAGAAGAGGGCCTACGTCAGATTCTGCGAACATGTACCAAGGAGCCTCCCGTTAAAGGGACGGAATTATTTAAGCTCTTCAATCGCCAAACATCTGATTGACACAGGACACCAAGTATATGTGCTGGAATAATTCAAAATAATTAAAAGACAAACTACCTCAAGTCTTCTCAGGTTTGCTGAAGCTATAGCAATAAAACGATTGAAGCCTGACTTATGTGTACAAAAAGAATCCGTTGTAGGACTTCAATTACCCTGGTAGCTCACTTCTTAGTAACTCTTTGTTTTCTAAATTTGTTAACTTATCTTTTCACTCCACCCCTCCCGTTTATGTTTCACTTGACTCTCTTAAGAGATAATTTTTCTTGATCTTCTGAGTTCTGCTCACTACATTACATCATCAACTTCTCATCTGACCTCATGTGCACTGTAATTTTAAAATTTTGATCTCCTCTTATCTGGTTACGTAACTATTGCTAATTGTCTTTTGTTACCACCCTAACAACATAACTGTTAACTAATTTCTTTTTTTTCAAGAAACTTCTCTCTACCAAGATATATATACATTTATATATACATGTCATGGCACTTTAGATATCCTGTAAATCTCAATGCCTTATTGTACTGTGACTCTCTGATACTATGCTTGCTAATTAACAAAGGTTTGTTAAAAAAAATTGTACATTATTTATTTTTAATAACAAAAATTCAGGTTGTACGCAGCTGATGAGAACCAACGAAATAAAATGGATCCAGATTATTCTGCGCCGATGTTCCTTCTTTCTTTTTTCAAATTTACAAAAGGGAATCATTGTGTGATAATCTATTTTTCTATCTTTCAGTGTTTTACCTTCAGTCGAGCAACGTTATAAAAAAAGGAATCTTCACTCGCTGACGTTTTCTAGACGTCTTCATTGACGCTTATTAAATATTTTAACTGACTGTTATTCATGCTTTTAATAAATAATTAACTAAAAAAAATTGCTATTTGATAAATTAAATAAATAAATAAATATTAATTTCTTGCATAAAATGCCTGAAGTTTTGATTCCCAGAGTACTTGCATATCACTGCCTACATTTGTCTACTTCTCTGTTATCAAACATGAAGAATAAAAAAAATGTATCTGTTAGGAGGTCTGTCGATGGTACAGTTCGTTGTCACTCCTGAGATTCATTCGCATTAAGTTAACAGGATATTTGCAGATTCTTGAGATAAAATGTTCTCGAAACATTCCCATCCATTGTTTCTACCTCGAACATAATTCCAAGCTTCACTGTTATCGATATCTTATTATTATTATTACGACTGAACATTAGGCAGTCCTGTTCCTTCGTTTGGTGCAGAATGAATTCAATCAATCAAGTTTGCAGTGTGGCCACTATGCTAGATGGCTCGCGACCTAAGTGCACTCTGAATTACTGTCGTTTAATGGTTGGAGGCAATCGGAAGGAAGCCCTGTCTGGACCTACGTTTTGTGCTTGTTGGCACTAACCAGTCAGCAAGGCGTACCTGCAATCTTGAAGGAACTCATAGAGTTTCCGAAGTTAGAACCCGGGTCATCCAGTGCTACAGTCAAAGACATTACCACTGAACGATTCAGGCTGTAGATTTCATCCCTGGTATGACTGTAATGGATACTTTGACTGGACACTAGGTAGTAATTAATACCATGGAGACGTTTCAGCTACAATTTATTATTTATTCAAACGCCACTCCCACTTCAGTAAAACATTATATTATTATTATTATTCCCTCGGGTTCCCAGTGGAACATACCGCTTCAACAACACATATTCACTTTTATCCTATCTTCTGCAATCCTCTTCAGCTGGGTCCACGATTGACCAAATTCTACTCCATTTCACCCTCCCACCCACGACCCACTCGTCGTTTCGCGTTCAGGTTCCACTCTAGGTTATGCGAGGCGCGCGATGTCATTCGACAGTCTCCTCAATGTATGCCCAATCCATCTGCACTTTCTCCTACATATTTGTTGAGCAATCGGCTGTCGCCTGTTGATTTGTTCCACTGCAGACTTTCTTGTTGCTTATTCTTTTTGGTGCCACCGAAGGCAGCTGTTGATGAGAGTCTAAAACATGATGTTGGAAATCCTTTTCGTGACACGCTGGACAGTTTTTGAACCCGTATAGAAGCACCGATTGACTCAGAATCTTGTTCCTTATGTTGAGTGCAGAAGATTTTCAAACTGGTTTCAGGTTGCTGAAGGTGTATCTTGCCTTTCCAACTCCGGCTATCTGAGCTTTGACGTCTTCACCGTTCCCCCCGGCCTGTAGTTGAAACGATGCTTCCCAGATAAGTGAAGCAGGCAACCTCTGTCAAATCCCTCCCGTTTATGGTGATTGGTCCTGATTGTTGTTGCTGTTGGTTGGTTGGTTGGTTATCTTCATCACCTCCGTCTTCTCAGTGTTCACCTGCAGTCCTGTTTTCGCTACCTCTTCAGCCAGTTTATTGGTTTTCACCCTCCTGCAAGTCTTCGAGTTTGTGTAACACTAGACATATATACCATCCAAGCGCGAAATCCAGATCTTCCAGAGTCTGCTTATCTGTAGTCCAGTACATTCCTGACTCCTGTCCCTCAACAAACTGACGCATAATACAGTCAGTCCACAACAATTAGGAAGATCATCGGTGATAACAGGCAGACAGCCTTATCTTACTCCTGTATTCACTTCGAACGCCTCAGTGAGTTTTACTTCGCGGGTCACCCGACATGTGGCATTGTCATACATCCAGCTGTTGAATGAGGTTGATAAAGACTTGGGGAAGTGACCGATGTACTTGCCTAATAATTATCGATAGAAACAGAAATTTTTTAACGAAGTTAATAATATGGCCAGTGTAATCAAAAGGCGTTGGAATCAAACCATCCAGTGACTAATGCACGGCAAGCAGCTACAAATTAACATCTGATTTCAGACCATTTTAACCTAATAAAATTCACTTGCATTCGCGGCAGCAAGTACATTTGAAGGACTAAGGAGAGTGTCTATTAGATTATGTTAGTGTTCTCAAATACGACTGCTAGACACCTAAGTGACATGGGACATACAATGGAAATTAGTCAGGCTTTCAAAATAATTAATGCACAAAGAAAACTACGGCTACTTCGGTTCACAGAAGCCATTGCTATCAAAAGACTTGGGCGCAATCTCTGCATAGAGAAAGAAAGCGTGACTATGATCTTACTACCCTGGCAACTGTAATTGTTTAGTGCGTGTGTTTGGTTCTGTCGAGCAATATTCTACTTTATTTTGTACTGACTACTAAGTTTTCAAGTTTATTTAATCGTTTGCATGTCATGATTTTACTCAGACTCGCGAACTCTCCATCATAATATGTATAAATTAACTCTGTTATTCTATTTTGTATAGAGTCTGCAGTCAATCCTTGTTCTTTTCCTAGAGAAATCTGAACTCTACCTCTACCTTCCACTTGTCTCTTTATACGATAAACAGTTAGTCTTTTACCACGAAATAATTTGCCTACTTTCTATGCGTAACTCGATGTCACTGTGGAAAGTATGATCACATGCTTTGTAACTTGTAATTTAATTTTGTTTAGGATGTATGCAGTTGAAAAGAATCTACGAGATAAAAACGAGCAGATGTTATACTGTGCGTTGTTAGCACAGCGGTTAGGACTCTCATCGAACATGCACATGGTCCAGGGTTCGATCCCCTGCCGACGCACACCAGATATCTATGGTCGGCCTGCAAAATTTGGGCTACCGATATCACATCATGAAAATTCCATATTTGTACCAAAAATATTGTGTCGTTTCAAGCTGTAATCAAAAATCAAAACAAGTTCGTTCTTTCTTTGTTCAATATAATAAAAAGGACTAGTTGTGATTTAGTGAAGCGCCCATAACAGGTTATGGCCAAGTTAAACTTTAAGCACCAGTAACTACCAATGGAGGGCGACAGCGCCAGTGACCTTGAAACATCCACTGAGCAAATTAGTGAAACCTGGCAAATAATGTTGTCATCATCAATAAAATATGTTCTTCAAAGTATTATGTTATTAAGTTGGATATCTGGCAAGTTTAAGCTTAGGTTTGGGAACGATTAAGTTACGCTTTAAGTCAGCGACAAGTAGGGGTTAAGATAACCTAATGAGGGCGACGCTATGGTTGGCTCAAGTTAGACTATGGTTCGTTTGAGGATATTTTCACATTAGGGCTAGGTTCAAGAAAGATTAGGGTTATTGTTAGGGTTAGAAGACCTAGATAATTACATGAATGGAATGTGGTTAAATTACTTTGTTGATATAAGAATAGAACTTGTGCACTGTGGTGGTAGAGTATAATTCCATTGTGGGTAAAATTTATTTTGATAAAGTCTCACAATGTTATACAGTAATATTTACTGAGCAATAAATTGTGCTCGAAACGTCACCAGTAAATATTACTGTATTACACTGTGAGACCCACAATAGAATTATACTCTGTTGATACTCGAACCTAAAACTCAGAGCTATTTTTATCACATGAGAGAGGAAGGTATCCTCTGTAACACTTTTCTACAGTTTTTATGCATTTTTCCCCATAAATATATGTATTCCATACACAAAAATGCCTCCTTCACGTGATTGGTGCGTTCGAGGTTATTCGCTGATTGGTAGTTAGTGGTGCTTAAACTTTAACTTCGCCCAGGTTATGAACAGCGTTGCTCACTCATCACGAATAAAATTTGGCAGTAAAATCCCAGATCATAATAGATTCTCATTCAGTTTTGTCTTGTAAGCCAAGGGCAATCAAAGACAACTCAACTACTAGCCAAAGGTCGAGTGTACACATACAGAAGAAGAGAATCAGTTCTTGGCTTTGTGTTGTCCACCAGCAACCTTCGACAGATTCTGGAACATAGGCATACTTACCGTAGGCATCCAACAATCGTTATACTTCTTGACCTAAAGGCGGCATTCGATTCTGTCGACTGAGAAGTACTGTGGTGATGTTTGGATCTGAAAAGAATGCCGAGAAAATACATTGCACTGATCAAGGCAATGTACTCAAACTCATGCAGCCAGGTGAGGGCTTACGCCGAGTTGTCATCTGAAATGGTGACTACTAATGCAGTGATGTCCGTCAGGGATGCCCACTTTCCCAATACTATTCAGTTTCATTATAGACGTACTAATGGAATTAACACTAACTCACTTCAGAGACTCAGCGATTGACTGGTTGTCATCAGGGAATAAAATCGTTCACTGAGAATATGCAGATGATATAGTCCTTCTAAGCGAACACTCTGACAAAATGCAGAGTCTTCCGAACACCTTGAGCAACAATTTTCGTATGTTTGGCATGCGATTCGCCCCTGTAAAATGTAAGATGATGTTGCAGGATTGTACTACACCGACCTCTAGATTAGAAATAGGAAGTGAAGTGGTAGAGCATGTTGACCGCTTCGCTTATTTGGGAAGTTGCATCAGACCCAACGGGTTGGTCAATGACAAAATCTCAGCACGGATACAGAAGTCTAGTTTCGGAAATGCCAGTTTACGCCGTCTCTGGCGTAGACATAATATCCGACTGGCTATCGACCAAAGGGCGTGTGTTTTGCTCAGCAGTCCACTCCGTCCTCCTTTATGGCCAGCTGTGAGACCTGGCCATTGAGAGTAGAGGAAATGAATGTAGAGGCTAGCTGTCTTTGATCAAAGGTGTTTGCGTTCTATCTCCCTTGTGAAGTGGCATAATAGGGTAAGCAATATTGAGGTTAGGCATCGGTCGAGTGCTAGGTAAGGATGGAGGGGAAATCAGTCGACGACTGTGAAATTACATTGACTGAGATGGTCAAAACATGTGTTACGTATGCCTAGTCATCGCCTTCCTCGACAACGGGTAATGTTAGTTGATATAGGGTCAGGCTGGAAAAGAGCTAGTACGTGGTGGTCAAACCAAAGCATGGCTTCACCAGTCAATGAAATCTACATCAGTTAGTCTAGGCCACGTAGGAAGGTGTAGACTTCCTGACTGGTTGGGGTCCTCGGGACGGTAAAAACCAATGAAGGTTGGAAACAATTAGTGACATGGCTCAAAATCGTTCTCAATGGCTAGCGCAAATGCATCCACTCCTTGTGACTTACGATTTCCAATGAAACTGCTTTGTTCTTCGTTATTACTATTCCTTTTGTTTCATATCCCTGTGTACTTTCTCTATTTTGTGTGGCTATATGGAGTGTGACGACTTGAACTGCTGCACATCGGTACAAAGTTCTATATGTCGAAAACAGACAGATGTAGCAGCTTCAACTAACGCAATTCTGTTGAAACTCAATCAGTTAGCCAACTAGTCTGTTGTTAACGCACAAAAACAATCTAACCGCCAATTCATCAAGAAGATCGAGAGGGAGAGAGACAGAGAAAACACCAAAAATCACAATCTTCCCCTTTTTTTATTCTCAATAGCTCCAAATATGCATAAAATCATGATGAAATGACATCACATCCTAGGAGAAAAAAATACAACAGTCAATTATGTGGGCAATAGACTTTAATCGTAACTTCTTAGAAAAAATACGTAATTTGATCATGTTTTGTCCTCTTCACGTATTATTATTATTATCATCATGAACACAGCATAAAATAGGATAGAATATTACGTAATATAGATAAATAAATACAGTTGGAATCGTTAAGGCACATAGTGATCAAATAAATTTTCAATAAATATAAGTAGAGAATCACCATCATCATCATCGGCAATACAGAAGGCAAAAAATATTTCTGCTTTTTCTCTAGCAACTACTGACTACACACAAATCAGTAGTCAGTAGTAGTAACAAATCAAAAATCAAAACAAATACATGATTTTAATCAATAATGAGAAAAATAACAGTAATTAAGATGGTGTGAACGCTTCAATTATCTGTATGATTGTCGCCACTGTCCCACCGATCAGACTGAGTAGACCAATTAGAATGAATATAATATGCTTAGTAAATATGTTCAACCAAAACCAAGGGATTTGATCACGTTCAGACCATAGAAAAATAATCTCCAATGAGGCAGGTAAGATAAAAGCAAGCACAGAACCAGCGAATGCTCCCATCAGCGAGATGAGGAGATCAATTCGAGGGATTAGAACAGCAGCTGCATCTGCAAAATAAATAAATAAATAATGAAAATAGGTGAAATACAATTAATGATATTAAACACTGGCGCATCATGTAAAACAAGATTATTTAGTGAAGAAATGAGGTGAACGATGATTAGCAGCAGTGCTGTCAGCAGTCCTATTCAGGACTCAGATCACATACCTAGGCGTTTCAAACGCCGAAGCGTTATCCCCTACTAAAGCACTAAAGCCACTACAGCCACCTCTCTTTTGCAGTGACGGGCTCTGGGAATGCAGGCGCACATCCTGATGACGAGTCCCAAAAAAGGCGAAGTGAACATGCCCTGGAAACATGTCCACTGCTAGTCACCATCCACACCAGACTGTTTTCAAGAAACCTGTGTAGTCAAACAGGTGACAAGAACTACTAAAATAAACTGTGGATAACTTAATTCCATTCTATATTAAAAATGAGAATCAACATGAGCTATTTTACTCGCGCAACAGGTTATTCGATTTTTGCTTTATATGTGCATAAATGAAACCCAGAAGCACATTAACACATTTTGCTTTAACAAAAAATGCTCAAGCATGGGTAAATTATCATGAAAATATCTCAAAAACCAAAAACGGGTGCAGAAAATGGATGCTAGCAGAAGCAATCATGTATTTTTGGAAGGGTGTGGGCGGTTGTAACTTCCAAATTGCCCACACCGTAGCAGTTGATTGATTCTTCCGGTACCTGAAACAGGCAGTGGATTAGTGTTGCGTGACCGCAGAGCCAAGGCGACTACTGCTTTAGACCGGTCACACACACGGCCTATATGAACTGGTTTCTTGGATTGGCTCTGTATTAGTAAACTTACCGCCAGTTACGGACCACCATAGGAAAACTTTGGGTGTACAATTTTTGGGGTCGACCTTTTCTAACCCCATCTCTCCAGAGTGGAGAGACAGCATAGCTGGCCGCCATGTTGTTCATCTGAGGAAAACAGCTAACTGCTGTTACATCCCCGTTCCCCAGTAGTACAATTTCGCCAACAAACCCCCAGTGTAGAAAAGAAAATCTTCCATTACGCCGGTAACTACTTTCGGTCTAATCACGATCTTAACAAACTTCCTGATATGGTAGGAACTGCGGGAACATTCGTACTAACCAGTGTAGTCAGTTGGGTCAATGCGATACGAAAGCCCGACCATCACGTCGACGTAGCAGCTACACGTCAGAGTGACACAGACAGCTGCATTTCACTGCAAACTTCTCCGCTGGAACCAGTGAGCTAACAGAACACACTGAACTAGATCCATGGTAGTTGTAGAGGTTGGACTGTGATTTCTTCTGAACACACAGCTCCGGTTCCAGGTTTTCGATGTATTTTGCGAGGGCTTCCGCAGTGTACAGAGAAGTCGGAAACACACTGCTTTTGGTAGGTTTCTGTTGACTTTGTAAATTACTTTGAATGATGAATCAGTTGAGATGTTATGAGAGAAGTGTTGATCAGATGATGCTCAATAATGGAACTTCTGATGATTGAACCGGTTCCTTCTCTTTTGCAGCCATGCTGGGTAATGTTCTCTCTAACACGTTTAGAAAGGACACGCATGCAACGACCTATGTACTTAGCTTCACACGAGCAGTTGAACTGCTTGCTATATGCGCATTGAAACAGTCATATGCGAGAGTTTGCTCTTAGCGTGGTTTCGAAGTATTGGACGACGGCTGGAGAATGTCATTATTATTAGTGTTGATGCAGGGAAGGTCTTCTTTAAAGATTTGGATATTCTCCTCTTCAGGATATCGGCTGCCAAATCTCCCCTGAAATTCAGATTCATATATAGAGTTTTCTTCGGCACTGAATCACATTCTTCTCTTTTTGGTGTTTAGGTTTCATGTTCTTGTCGACAAAACGTGTCGGGTAACCATTTTGAGCCAGGGTATTTTTGAGGAATAGGAGCTCCTCTTCCAAGCAATCACTGCTGCAGATTTTTCTAATGCAATGGGTTGTTGTGATGAGGAAATGCGTTAGTTTGCCGTTCCACGTTGGTTTTCTGTGGATGGATCTCTTCAGGGTTCCATCATCTCTTCTTGTTAATTCCACGCGTCCAGAAATGGAATCTTTGAATCACTTTCAATTCCATTGTGAATTTAATCGAAGGATGGGAATTATTAAATTCTTGTAAGATACAATTGAAGTCGGAATTATCGTAGCAGACTACAGTACAGTAACAATCTGTTTATTGTTGATTTTAAAACGCCGCTTTCCAAACTGGCCATAAAGCAGTGTGCTAAAAGCGGGCCAAGAGGAGATCCCATTGCAATTCCATCTTTCTGTCTGTAGATGTCGCCGTTGAAGGTAAATTGTACATTCAGCGTGCATCTCAGCAACAATTCTTTCCGATATGATGTTCGTATTCCGATACTTATATTCGAGTTCTCCATATAATTGCACAGGGAACAGATTGTTTCTGTTAGTGGCACGTTGGTAAAGAGAGATTTGACGTCTAGGGATAACATTCGTTTACCATTTACATTCAAGTCTTTTATACATTCAACGAACTTGCATAGGTGCTGTCTTACCGGTTCCAACATTTCGGACAGCCATTTGGCGATTGGATGGTATGGTGACCCTGACATGTCTAGAATTGGTCGAAGCGGTAAGCCAGGTTTGTGCACCTTTGGTAAGCCGTAGAGTCGGGGAATAGTTGATCCTGTTGGTTTCAGGCAATCGGACAGGTCTTCAGTTATCAGACGGTCGTTCTTCATTCTTCTGAGAACATCTGAATGAGTTACAATCACTGCTTGCTAGCAACCCCCCAAGTAGTATAGATGAACATTGGCTTCATCTGCAAGACGCCATGCAAATGGCGAGTGTAGCCGCTTGAGGCTTGAGAGAATGCTCCGCCAGAAACCACTGGGTTTCTGCGAGTTCCTTGCAACTCCTGGATGAACGCCGGTCCATTCCGGCTGGCAGCGAATACAACAATAAGCGAAAGGCGCTTACGCGCACGTCTAGACAGTGTTTACGTAAGAACCGCGAAGCCTGTTGGTCAGAACGTGCGTGTGAGATGGAGTCAGTTGCTACATCTGGCAACAGTCGGAAGATGTTTCAGCTCATCCGAGCCACCGGCAGCAAGAAACAAGGTATCAGCGGAACGGTCTGTGAGGCGGATGGCAAGCCAATTACTAGCCTGAAAAGACGCCTGGAACGCTGGGCAGAGCACTTCGAGAAACAGTTCAGCTAGCCACCAGCCTCAGTATCTGCTGTCACTAGCTCCAGTGCTCCTCGGTTGGTTAGTACCGACCCACCAACCGAAGCGGAGGTCCGTAAGGAACTCCAAGTGTTAAAACGCTATAAGGCACCCAGCCCAGACAATCTAACCCTGGCTCTTTTTAAAGGTGGTGGCGAGACTCTCGCAATGACTATAACTGGTTTATTCAGGAAGGTATGGGAAACAGAGAGTGTACCATAATGTGGAACGTAGCCATTATCGTCCCCATCTTTAAAAAGAGTCGACGTAATTCATGTGACAATCATAGGGTATCAGCCTGCTACCAGTTGCGTTTAAAATATTGGCTGCTGTCTTGCTCCGCAGGCTGTGCGAAACACGTGAAGGATTGATTCGCGAAGAGCAGGCTGGGTTTCGTTCAGACCGTGAATGCATTGATCATGTGTTCACTCTTCGTCAGTTGTTGGAACACCATCACACGTATTGCAACAGGTCAACAATCGTTGTGTTTGTTTGGTCTCTGTGAGTGTCTGTTTGAGAGGAGTGTACCTGGGAACCTTGTTAACATCTTGAAAGCCCTATACAGAAACAGCTCAGGTAGAGAGTGAGGGCATACAACCAACTATCATCACTGTTCACAACCAACGGTAGGGGTAGACAGGGTTGACCGATCTCTCCATTTCCCTTTAACTTTGCCATCGATGACATTCTGGAGTCAGCTGTGAAGGATGTGCGTGAAGGGGGTGTAGATCTTTTACTTGGAGATAGACTTTTCGACCTCGAGTATGCAGACGATATCGTCATACTGTGCGATAGCATGCAGACTGCCCAAATCGCACTTAATCAGTTGGCGATCAGTGTCTGTAAGTATGGTATGTGCTTTGCGCCGTCTAAGTGCAAAGTACTGTTACAAGATTGGCAGGAGCCTGTACCTGCACTCACTCTTGCAGGTGAACCGCTTGAAGCTTTCTATCTTGCTCTACGCTTGTGAAACCAGGCGTAAAGCAAGACAGCCCGCACCGATGCATCGTATACCTGCCCTTTGACATCCAGGGTAACGTCGCGACGGCGCCGGAGGTTATTAAAGTTGATGTATGCCACCCTAGCCTTCATTATACGATTGGAAATCTCATCCGTCACCCCTCCGCCAGCACTCACACAACTACCCAGGTACACAAACTTATCAACAACTTCAAGCGGTTCACCCACGACAGTGAGTGCAAGTACAGGCTCCTGCCAATCTTGTAACAGTACTTTGCACTTAGACGGTGCAAAGCACATACCATACTTACAGACACTGATCGCCAACTGATTAAGTGCGATTTGGGCAGTCTGCATGCTATCGCACAGTATGACGATATCGTCTGCATACTCGAGGTCGAAAAGTCTATCTCCAAGTAAAAGATCTACACCCCCTTCACGCACATCCTTCACAGCTGACTCCAGAATGTCATCGATGGCAAAGTTAAAGGGAAATGGAGAGATCGGTCAACCCTGTCTACCCCTACCGTTGGTTGGGAACAGTGATGATAGTTGGTTGTATGCCCTCACTCTCTACCTGAGCTGTTTCTGTATAGGGCTTTCAAGATGTTAACAAGGTTCCCAGGTACACTCCTCTCAAACAGACACTCACAGAGACCAAACAAACACAACGATTGTTGACCTGTTGCAATACGTGTGATGGTGTTCCAACAACTGACGAAGAGTGAACACATGATCAATGCATTCACGGTCTGAAGGAAACCCAGCCTGCTCTTCGCGAATCAATCCTTCACGTGTTTCGCACAGCCTGCGGAGCAAGACAACAGCCAATATTTTAAACGCAACTGGTAGCAGGCTGATACCCTATGATTGTCACATGAATTACGTCGACTCTTTTTAAAGATGGGGACGATAATGGCTACGTTCCACATTATGGTACACTCTCTGTTTCCCATACCTTCCTGAATAAACCAGTTATAGTCATTGCGAGAGTCTCGCCACCTTTAAAAAGAGCCAGGGTTAGATTGTCTGGGCTGGGTGCCTTATAGCGTTTTAACACTTGGAGTTCCTTACGGACCTCCGCTTCGGTTGGTGGGTCGGTACTAACCAACCGAGGAGCACTGGAGCTAGTGACAGCGGATACTGAGGCTGGTGGCTAGCTGAACTGTTTCTCGAAGTGCTCTGCCCAGCGTTCCAGGCGTCTTTTCAGGCTAGTAATTGGCTTGCCATCCGCCTCACAGACCGTTCCGCTGATACCTTGTTTCTTGCTGCCGGTGGCTCGGATGAGCTGAAACATCTTCCGACTGTTGCCAGATGTAGCAACTGACTCCATCTCACACGTATGTTCTGACCAACAGGCTTCGCGGTTCTTATGTAAACACTGTCTAGACGTGCGCATAAGCGCCTTTCGCTTATTGTTGTATTCGCTGCCAGCCGTAATGGACCGGCGTTCATCCAGGATTTGCAAGGAACTCGCAGAAACCCAGTGGTTTCTGGCGGAGCATTCTCTCAAGCCTCAAGCGGCTACACTCGCCATTTGCATGGCGTCTTGCAGATGAAGCCAATGTTCATCTATACTACTTGGGGGTTTGCTAGCAAGCAGTGATTGTAACTCATTCAGATGTTCTCAGAAGAATGAAGAACGACCGTCTGATAACTGAAGACCTGTCCGATTGCCTGAAACCAACAGGATCAACTATTCCCCGACTCTACGGCTTACCAAAGGTGCACAAACCTGGCTTACCGCTTCGACCAATTCTAGACATGTCAGGGTCACCATACCATCCAATCGCCAAATGGCTGTCCGAAATGTTGGAACCGGTAAGACAGCACCTATGCAAGTTCGTTGAATGTATAAAAGACTTGAATGTAAATGGTAAACGAATGTTATCCCTAGACGTCAAATCTCTCTTTACCAACGTGCCACTAACAGAAACAATCTGTTCCCTGTGCAATTATATGGAGAACTCGAATATAAGTATCGGAATACCAACATCATATCGGAAAGAATTGTTGCTGAGATGCACGCTGAATGTACAATTTACCTTCAACGGCGACATCTACAGACAGAAAGATGGAATTGCAATGGGATCTCCTCTTGGCCCGCTTTTAGCACACTGCTTTATGGCCAGTTTGGAAAGCGGCGTTTTAAAATCAACAATAAACAGATTGTTACTGTACTGTAGTCTGCTACGATAATTCCGACTTCAGTTGTATCTTACAAGAGTTTAATTATTCCCATCCTTCGATTTAATTCACAATGGAATTGAAAGTGATTCAAAGATTCCATTTCTGGACGCGTGGAATTAACAAGAAGAGATGATGGAACCCTAAAGAGATCCATCCACAGAAAACCAACGTGGAACGGCAAACTAACGCATTTCCTCATCACAACAACCCATTGTATTAGAAAAATCTGCAGCAGTGATTGCTTGGAAGAGGAGCTCCTATTCCTCAAAAATACCCTGGCTCAAAATGGTTACCCGACACGTTTTGTCGACAAGAACATGAAACCTAAACACCAAAAAGAGAAGAATGTGATTCAGTGCCGAAGAAAACTCTATATATGAATCTGAATTTCAGGGGAGATTTGGCAGCCGATATCCTGAAGAGGAGAATATCCAGATCTTTAAAGAAGACCTTCCCTGCATCAACACTAATAATAATGACATTCTCCAGCCGTCCAATACTTCGAAACCACGCTAAGAGCAAACTCTCGCATATGACCGTTTCAATGCGCATATAGCAAGCAGTTCAACTGCTCTTGTGAAGGTACATAGGTACATAGGTCGTTGCATGCGTGTCCTTTCTAAACGTGTTATAGAGAACATTACCCAGCATGGCTGCAAAAGAGAAGGAACCGGTTCAATCATCAGAAGTTCCATTATTGAGCATCATCTGATCAACACTTCTCTCATAACATCTCAACTGATTCATCATTCAAAGTAATTTACAAAGTCAACAGAAACCTACCAAAAGCAGTGTGTTTCCGACTTCTCTGTACACTGCAGAAGCCCTCGCAAAATGCATCGAAAAGCCGGAACTGTGTGTTCAGAAGAAATCACAGTCCAACCTCTACAACTACCATGGACCTAGTTCAGTGTGTTCCCTTAGCCTCGGTTTTTTTTCCTTTGATTATTTTCGTTCTCTCTGAGTGTGTGGGACTCTTCTCTCTATGACTTCATCTTATTCATCCCTGTTTTTTCAGTTATAAGTACAGTTTGTTTTCAAAGCTTTGATCGCCATTTAATAGTAGCTTTTGCCACTTTCAGTTAGTACTGTCGATGTTAATTCAAGGTTTCATAATCCTGCGTAGAATAAACACTTTTAAGAAGAAACAAACGCGTGAAAACACGAGGCGAGTTTTAAACCTAGACAATGGCTGATGCATTGATTATCGTATCCTGATCCCTCGACAGATAGATAGATAGATAGTAGAACACTGGCATACTTAACAGCGTCACAGACAATCCATCGCAATTGATAATACCAGATTAGCTAGTCATTATTATTGAATCACACTATTTCCATTTTATTTGCACACACAGTGAACAACTTACCTGATAACACATTTCTAAACCTTGTTTAGCTGGTAGTGTAACCCCGTTAAAAAAAAAAAAAGAGATGATTGGAGGTGAAAACAACAACAACAAGCTCACTACTCTGTAGGAAAATGCACCACGCCTACTGGAACTTCAGAGGAGTTGAAGCTGAAGCATGAAGCTGTATATATTCCACTGAGAATACGAATGAAATAATAATAATTTGCTTGAGAAATAAACTCACTTCAATGTTGGTTGACACACACACACACTGTCTATCCCCGAACAGATAATGAACAAACGTGAAGAGATTAATAAATCCCACAAATATATCCAGTGGTGATACATAGGCAATGTGTTAATTATTGCAGACAGCCAGTGACTCTATGGATTCCTTATGATGTCCGCCGAAACACGAATAGTCCTAAAAATACGCACTAGTATATGACTAGAATGTATATATACAAAGTTTACTGACAATATGCAGATCGTTAACCATAGGATACAGTTGAGTCAGCTGGGAAATACATGTATATTTCCAAGATCGATTACAGTTATTGACATCACAGTTATAGAACCACTGAAAATCAAGGAGTAATGAATGAACAGATATTTTGTCTTAGCGGTGGTTTCAACGCTTCAACCGTACGCTCACCATCACCCTTCCAGCCACAGTGAGTGAGAGGGAATCCAATGAATTCCGACTTCTACCGATTCACGCCGCCAACAATTATACATCTCATCCAACAGTTGTACGACGACAATGCTGCGTGCCAAGTTAATTCACAACGGGAAACTCACGGAATACTTCGAAGAAGTGAACACAGGAGAAAGACAAGCTGTCTGTTTACCATCTCCAATGATTTTCCTGATTACGGTAGATTGGATAATGCGACAAACAGCGGCGGGCAGCGAGGAAACAGGCATAAAATGGACCTTCACGAAAAACTTGGAGGATCTGGACTTCGCCGATGATGATATATGTCTGATTTCCCACAAACTGGAAGATATGCAAGTGAAAAGCAACAAGTTGGCAGAAAAAGCATCAAAGATAGGACTCCAAGTAAACACAGAGAAAACAGAGGTGAAGATTCCTGGCCAACAGCAACATCCACAGTAACAACAGACAACAATCAGCATAAATGGAAGGAACCTGAAAGAAACAACCTCCTTCACCTACCTACCTATTGACCTGGGAAGTATTGTTTCAGCTACACGCGGACGGAACTGACGAGGATATCAAAGCATCGAGGATTTGGAAAGCCAGGCAAGCTTTCACTACTCTCAAGTCTGTGTGGAAGTCAACAGCACTACTCAGCATCAAAAATAACATTCAGATTTTCAACTCCAATGTGAAGTCAGTGCTACTTGTTATACGGATCAGAGACTTGGCGCGTCACGAAGAGCACTTCGAACAAAATACAAACCTTCATTAACAGCTGTCTTCGCTCAATACCAATCAAGATCAGATGGCCGGCCAGAAAACATCAGCAATAGGGATCTCTGGCAATGAATGAACCAACCAGGAACTGATTGTGCAACAAATAAGCAGGAAGAAATCGAGGTGGATTCGTCATACTCTGAGAAAACCATCAGGTGAGTGACATCACAAGACAGGCCGTCGTTCGAATGGAACATGAAAGGGAAGTGGCGAGTTAGCTTGTCGTCAGTGCGAGGGTGACATGGAGGAAGTCATGTGAAGAGGAGATGAGCAACATATATTCCCTGAGAACTACTTCATACTATTGTAATAACACGGATTGTTACTGTAAAGCGTAAATCACTCTCAACTTAACCATTTTTATCTTTAATTATCACATGAAGAATAGAAAGAGTAAAATTTTAAAAAATTCAAAATTACAATAATAATAGTAATAATGATATCAAGTACGCAGAAATCAAAGTGCATCATATATAAGTACAATGTAAAAAAAAAAATTTTGTTGAGACCGATCTGCGTTCAATAAAATACTTCAATAAAAAACTTCTTTATTACTTACATGATAATATCACTAGACTGATACGCATCGCTTTCAAGTGAATATATCTTCGACGAGTCGATCCTTCACGATGACATTTTATCTTTTCCATTAAACGACTAAATATTGTAGCTGGTACATAATATTGTAATAGATAACTGACAAACATAGCTATTATGAATAATGGTTTAACAGGAGCAAACCAACTGAAAAAGATTATTTATTTTGAAAAAAAATTTCTGTATATTTCACCATTGGAATAAGAAAGACAAACTTTAATCAATAACCAAACTAGGACGAAACAGCTGTCCAGTACTCCCAGGTTTTCCAATGGTTATCTAACTAATGTCAGCTCATGATGAAAATCCTGTAATCAATAACTAACTGTTCATGGCTTTATCTGTGTATTTGGACAGCTAGTTATTTCGTCCTAATTAAAGACTCTTCATCAGTACGCACCCTGCTAGGGTTTAATTCCATTATGCATAAATTTTGTTTTGATAAAGTCTCACAGTGTTATACAGGAATGTTTACTGATCACCACGTTTCCAGCACAATTTATTGCTCATATCATATCATATCAGGATAATCACACGGCTTCCTAAATTCATTTATATATAGTTCCGTCGTTTTTCACTTGATTTGATTGGTAGTAATATTTTCCATATTTCGGGTATGAGTGATGAATTATTCCTATTGCATGTGTTGGGTGTAGATTCGATGAACAAGGATTCAGTAATCAACCTCTCTCTCCACCTACCTAGATTACTTTTTAGAATTTTAACCCTCTCCCACCCTATTGTGTGGTTGTGTGTTAATGCATGCATTGCAATTGCCGAGCTTTTTTCTAAATTACTTATCTTCTCTGGGTCAACCATGCTTACCTTAGCTAAATTCTTATGTTCCGACAATCTGATTAACCCTGATCTACTAGTTTGACCTATTTAGTTGACCTAACTCACAGTCATCGCAGGGTATTTTGTAAATTATATTATTTTGTCTAATTGGGTCAACTGGGTCCTTTAGCCTAAAGAGCTTGTCCCTGAGTGAGTTTGTAGGTTTAAATGCCACCCTAATTCGTGCTTTATTAAGAATCCTACTTCAGAGGGTCTCACATGTCCCCCCTGATATGGTAAGTAAGTAAGTAATCTAGGTAGGTGGAGAGAGAGGTTGATTACTGAATCCTTGTTCATCGAATCTACACCCAACACATGCAATAGGAATGAATCATCACTCATGCCCGAAATATGGAAAATAATACTACCAATCAAATCAAGTGAAAATCAAGTGAAAAACAATGGAACTATATAAATGAATTTAGGAAGTCGTGTGATTACCTTGATATGATATGATATGAGCAATAAATTGTGCTCGAAACGTCATCAGTAGATATTACTGTAAAACACTGTGAGACTCTATCAAAATAAAAAATTTACCCAAAATGGAATTACACTCTACTACAGTGCACAAGTTTTATTCTTATATCTACTGGGGTTTAAACCCAAAGCCATCATCCAGTTACACAATCAGCGCATAGACCATTCAGCCACTGAGCTAGATAGAATTCAACAGCCAACCCATTCCATCTAACCTCTGTTAATGTGCAATAAAATAAATAGCGCGACCACGCCGCAGTGTCACCGACAAGTACCTAGGAGGGAACACCTATCTAGCACTACTCCCTGTGGGTTTTCAATAGTTCTCTAACTGATGTTAGCTCGCAAACCAAAACTTGAAGATAAGTCTGATACTCACTAACGACTGAGTTTATATAGGCACTTACTAGGAGTAGTTTTATATGAGAAGTCAGAATGTCAGTGTTAAGAGAAGAGTTACTCGCTTTATGACACATTGGCTAGCAGTTTTGCATTGTATATTATTATTATTATTATTATATCCTTTAATTCCTAGAGGAACATAGGGCTTCAGCTGCACGTTTCCATTGCGTTCGGTCCTCCCATCCAACGTTTTCACCTGGCTCCACGTGTGCCCATATACTTTCATCGCCTCTTCGCATGACCTCCTCCATGTCACCCTCGCACTGACGACAAGCTAACTCGCCGCTTCCCTTTCACGTTCCATTCGAACGACGGCCTGTCTTGTGATGTCACTCACCTGATGGTTTTCTCAGAGTATGACGAATCCACCTCCATTTCTTCCTGCTTATTTGTTGCACAATCAGTTCCTGGTTGGTTCATTCATTGCCAGAGATCCCTGTTGCTGATGTTTTCTGACCGGCCATCTGATCTTGATTGGTATTGAGCGAAGACAGCTGTTAATGAAGGTTTGTATTTTGTACGAAGTGCTCTTCGTGACGTGCCAAGTCTCTGATCCGTATAACAAGTAGCACTGACTTCACATTGGAGTTGAAAATCTGAATGTTATTTTTGATGCTGAGTAGTGCTGTTGACTTCCACACAGACTTGAGAGTAGTGAAAGCTTGCCTGGCTTTCCAAATCCTCGATGCTTTGATATCCTCGTCAGTTCCGCCCGCCTGTAGTTGAAACGATGCTTCCCAGGTAGGTGAAGGAAGTTATTTCTTTCAGGTTCCTCCCATTTATGCTGATTGTTGTCAGTTGTTGTTCTGGCTGTTGGTGGTGTTGGCCAGGAATCTTCATCACCTCTGTTTTATCTATGTTCACCTGAAGTCCTATCTTTGATGCTTCATCTACCGACTTGTTGCTTTTCACTCGCATGTCTTCCAGTTTGTGGGAAATCAGGCATATATCATCGGCGAAGTCCAGATCCTCCAAGTTTTTTGTGTTAGTCCATTTTATGCCTGTTTCCTCCTTGCCCGCTGTCTGTCGCATTATCCAGTCTACTGCAATCAGGAAAATCATTGGCGATAGTAGGTAACCAGCTTGTCTTACTCCTGTCCTCACTTCGAAGGATTCTGTAAGTTTCCCTTTGTGGATTACTTGGCATGCAGCATTGTCGTACAGCTGTTGGATGAGATGTATTATTGTCGGCGGCACCCCGTAGTAGCGAAGTAGTTGCCAAAGCACCTCTCGATCGACGCTGTCGAATACTTTTTCAAAGTCGATGAAGTTGAGATAGAGAGGTGACTGCCATTCCAGGCTTTGTTCAATGATGATCCGTAATGTGGCGATCTGATCAATACATGACTTGTTTCTCCTGAATCCAGCCTGCATTGTATATATACATAGCGAATTAATAGAAGTTGAAATTCATTGGGCAACTGGATTTATTCCCACCCAGTGTTTGAATGGTCTAAGATATCAATTTATAACAGAGAAGTCCTGGGTTAGACTGCCGAGTTAGGTGAGTACTGTTGAAGAGAGAGTTTGAAACCACTACGGAACAACTGTTCGGTACTGCCTGGTTTTCCAGTGGTTGGTTCTTTCTAGGTCGTTTTAGGCAACTTCCTTAGATTAATTATAAAAGTTTGAAAATTATATATATATATATATATATAATCCTTCGAAGCTAAACTTTATGCGACGATTATGGAAGAGTTATATGTTACGAACTAGTACAGTACCTATTCTCCGATTGATTAGAACTCTGCTGACACCAATCCTCCAACGAAAGTTGAAGTCTTGAATGCAATCAAGCTTCTGAAAGCTGGAAAAGCAGCTGGACCAGATGAAATACCCCCTGAAGCACTGAAAGCGGACCCAGAGACGACAGTGGATATCCTGACTCCATTATTGCAAAAGGTCTGGAAGGAGGGAAAGGTGCCAGCAGATAAATCTCTTGTGCCTTTCAAACCCAATAACCTGGGATAGATAATTTTGCATTCCATGTACCAGGCTAAAATTTCATAGTACTGTAGCAACAGAAGACAAGGACCAGGTAACAGATCGTTTATTAAGGAAAATCAACACATATTTATAGATTTTAATGTGCATTATTGTAGATTATTGTTAGTAGAAAATACAGGGTTTTGATTGGTTGTTTCTCACAGAAAGTTAACCTTGCATCTCTTTTTGGCTGTGTCAGATCACCCATATGCTAACTGTATCCACCTACGCAAAGCCTTTGTTCTCATTTTCTCACCACCAATATTGCAGATAAAAACACTGACGTCAATTACTGTCTACCAACTTTGGCTAGCAGCCAGCTATCACCACAGTACTACTCAGCTGCCCAAAGTAAATTAGATAAATTAATACTCAAATCAATTAGTATTTAAAATGGAGTACTTAAGCCAGTGGAGACATCCACCCACATCTCTGCGAACAGACAGTTAGCAATTAAAGGAGAACTACATACAACAAAACATACAACAGAACTACATACATAGAGCCGTTGAAAGGTGGCTGGGGCATAACACAACCCAAAAGGCATGGTGCGGAATTCATACAACCCAGTTGGAAGTATGAAAGCAGTTTTTGGCAGTCAAGCGGGTGTACTTCAACTTGCCAGTACCCAGATTTATTATTATTATTTATTTAAACGCAGAAAAACTTGGTACTATATGGCACCAAGAAAGATGCGCCACACAATATTGTGTGAGGGCTGAGATACTGCCCGGGGTGCCCAGACCGGAGCAAGTGGTTTTCCTAAGGGACCACCTCCCGAGCCTTTGACATGGAGTCTAATCCGCAAGGCAGCGGAGCAGCGTCAGGAACTGTGTTCCCAAGGTTGCCGGTAGCCCATATGGGTTCATACGCCATTTGATCCGATTGAATTCTGGAGCCCATGTACCCCATGGTAACTGCTTTTAGCCTAACCGCTATCCAAACAAGCTTCCTGACATTGTAAGACCTGCAGGGACATGAGTCCCAGCCAGTTTAGCTTGTTGAGTCACTGTGGCATTCAAACCCGACCACGACGGCAAGGTAGCAGTTATCGGCCGAGCGTACCAGTACCCAGATGCTAGATCTAATGTGGAAAACCATTTCGCGCCAGTCAGTGCATCGAGAGTGGAGTCAATGCGAGGGATAGGGAATGAGTCACGCCTTGTCACGGCGTTCAGTTTGCGATAGTCGACGCACATCCGGAGGGATCCATCTTTCTTCTTAACTATCACAATAGGTGACGCCCAAGGGGACGAGGAAGGTACGATAATCTGCTTGTCTAACATGTCTTGTAACATCCTTTCCAGCTGGGGTTGATAATGGACAGGGACGCGTCTGGGAGGCTGGCGCACAGGTGAGTGGTTACCAGTGTGAATACGGTGCTGTACAATATTAGTACGTCCAGGGCTGTCCCCCTCGTCAAAAACGTCCAGAAAGTCCCC